AATTTTGCTGGGGTCAGGAATATCCCGATCACACATCCGACATTTCTTGTCAGGAGGATCGGGGCCACGCATGGTCGGCGGCTCAAGGCCTGAAGGATCCTTTGGCCTTGTACCGTTGGGATCAAATCCTGGATAATATCCGGTTTCACGTTTATCCAGGGGCACGGGTTGCGTAGCCTTCGGAGGACTCTGAAGGTCAGCCGCGTTGGGTTGACCCCCAGTTGGGGTGTCACGGAATCTGTCAACGGGTGGCCGCAGAGGCGGCGAGAACGATCGCGTCGGGTTCGTCTCAGGTATGCCTCCAGGCGACCTATTCCTGACACGGTTACCATCGGGATCCCTTCTTCTCCTAGTCTCGTCCCTAAGGCACGCAAGACAACAGGGACCCTGGACAAATCCAAATCTCCTGTAGTCATCCTGCCCAGCAGAATGTCTGGTGCAGTAGTAGGTCTTACAAAACTGACACTCAATTCCCTTGGTCAGGAACGAGCTTTCCCTACAGACTCCGCATCGGGGTCCGTTACGGGAACATTCTTCACACAGGTTCTCTTTAAATGAGAAACAATACTCACAAATATCACCTCTGCATCCCTTGCAGTGAAACTCAGCCACGAGATGATTATACCCATCACCTACATATTTACATCTGGGTTTACCAGGGTTGCCAGGGTTCCCACCGGCAGCACTCTTCTTCCCCGCTCCTCCTGGGCTTTGCCAATCTGGAGGAGGAGGTGGTGGAGGATCACCATCAGGAGGGCCAGGTGGAGGTGGCCGCTTATCCGGAGTACGGGACGCGGCTCGCCTTCCTCCTGTGTGATCGTTCAATCCACTACTTGAGGCCTGGTTCGAGTGCCTTGACTCGATGGAGCTGATTCTCTGGGCCGTATTACCCAGCACCTCGAGCATTTGCTCGAGCTTACTGTTGAGCGTAGTCGAAACGGCCATGTTATGAGTATTTTGCTTGTCCGTGTAGGACTTGCAGTCCCTTGACTTCATCTCAAGGTTGGCTTGTGTCTCATAAAGTTGGTCTTTAACCCACTTTATGCCGTCCCTATTATTGGTCCAGCGTTGTTCGACATCTTGCATCATCCTATCAATCTGACATACCCTGGTGGACAGGTCCTCGATTTTGAGGTTTACCCCACCAATTGCAGGATGGTTGGATTGGCTCTCCACTAGAGATCTCTCGATCATATCAACACGAGCTATAAGCCCGGTTACTCGATCAGAGAGAGATTCAAAAACAGTTTGAACCTGGGTGATGGAGCGAGCAACATCATCATAGCTGGCTCGCTCGTTTAGGGCATCGCCTATGCTTATCATGCGATCGGCAACGATCTTGACGCGTTGGCCAAGCTCGGTCACGATGTCCTTAGTCCCTTGTGATAGCTGCATGGCCGCGTTCGCAGCCTGCGTACACGTGCCACTCATATGGACGCATTGGTCGTATTTGGCCCTCCACGAGCTAACCTCGGTGGAGAGCTGCTTGATGCATTGATCACTTCTATCATTCCTACGACCAAGGTCTTCGACCTTAGCAACCAGGCGATGAATAATCGCACTTACCGAAGAGTCCACTCTCCCTCTTTCAAGGGCTGTTACAAGATCAGCAACCTCGTTGGGTTGCTCCTCACTCGTAGGACCAAATCCTGATCCGCGATCTCGAGGAGTGGACAAGTCAACCATGATTGGATTAGATCTCGGAGGAGTTCTGAAATCATCCTGCACGGCCGTTGATGGCCGTGGAAACTCACTCCGATTAGGAGATTGACTCTGATACGGAGCAGATCTCCTAGCATCACGAACCGCAGAGTGTTGTGTCATGCCCAGGCCTTTGGCCACGGGCAGTTTAGGAACAACAGGCCTATCCATCCGCATAGGAACATCAGGTCTCGAGTCAGCAATAACAATGTCATTCAAGTCGGTCGCATTGGACACTCTAGACTCAGACATCGATTCAATATCAGTCGCATTACTGATGGTATGATTGCGACTAGAACTTGATGCCATCATGGATTCAGATTCTATCGGAACGTTTGCTCCGTCCATGTCGTCTAGGGCGAAAATGGAAGCCGCGTTGGGCGTAGGGCGAACACCTTGGGCATTCAAGCCACTTGACCTATTAAATTCCTCCTGGAATGCTTCGATCCCATCAAGCACGTTAACGAGTGCGTCCGCGTTTAACGGGTCTCTACCAACGATCGACGCTGGATCACCTGATCGACCGCGTCCTGAGTCCCGCGCACTGGGGTTACCCCTGTGGGCAGTTTCCCGATCCATCCCCTAACCTGCGAAAGGGTTTGAAACAGAGTTTCGGGATGGATAAAACAGGCCCTATGCGATCCAGTCGAATTTGACCTTGATCGTTTGCTTGGGGTAGGACTAGGATGCAAATCCAATCTATCTACGATATTACGCTCCCTAGGGCTCTCAAATCCTGAAAGTCCTGGGGGAGGGGACATGTTCCTCATGGTCGGGTTTACCGACGGCCTTGGCCTGACGTTACGGCTGGCCACGTCAGGATTGAGATTCTCAATCGACAAAGGTAGCATGAATTCATCGCTTCCAGCAGCCCGTTTTGGGCTTTGGAATTGCGGGAAAGATGACGGGGCGGGTGGCCCTGGCATCCATGCGGCAAAATCCATACCAAAAATATTTCCGTCGTTGGGCCATGAGGCTCTCCAATCGAGCCCACCGGATTCGGTCGGCAGATGAACATCGAATGCAACTCCACTGGATGTACCAGATTCGGGATTACCGAGCGCTTGAAAAACTATACCGCTGGTTGGCACAGGTCTACTGCTACTTCGAGAGTCACGAAACTCGGATTGACCAATATTCATCAGCTCCGGGAAAGATGAGGATTGAGCTGCAGGTGTGATACTGGGCTCGTCATCATCACGTCCTGAGACGGAATCATCATGGTCAGGACGATTAGCCCCATGACCCTGAGAGCGATTAGCTCTTGAGGCATTAGACGATAGATCATCAGTGCGAGTAGCACTGGATCTCCCTGAAGGCATTGCTTCTGAAAAAGTGTGGTCCGACAAAAAGTCAGGACCGGAAAACATCGGCTGTCCGGGCACCTGGCCGTCATTCACAACGTCCAAGATTCCGGCCTGGCCGAGAACCCACTCATCGGTCACCACATGAGGTCCATCCTCGGTGATTCCCGCCATGAGTCCTACAGTAGCCTATGAAAAACGGCGCCTGCAGGGTTGTTATTAAATGGGGTTCGCGGTGCCAACCGAGGACGAATCCTACGGCTGATAACCTGCGAAAGGGTTTGAAACAGAGTTTCGGGATGGATAAAACAGGCCCTAACCCACCAACAAGAAGAGACCACCTTATCCCCCCGGTCCCAAGGGCAAAGCGGTTGCCCTCGGCCGGCACAAACACGAACCAAAAGGGGTGCCAGTTTAACAAACAGAAGAATGAGCCCAGCAAGGGCAGGCAGCAAGCGAGAGCAGAGCAGCAGCACCAACGCGAGCGAGCGGGCAAAGCAAAGCGAGCAAGCAAGCAAACAATACGCACACTACCAAACCCCAATCCGGCCTGCTCCACCCAGAAACCCACCGCAGCCGCGCCAGCCCGACCTTTTCCGGGTCCGAGATGACGTGCCGCGCCGCGCGGTTATGGGCGACGAAAACAGCGAACGGGGAATGCCGCAGTGAAAAGCTTGAGCCAGAAACCGCGTTGGGCTTTGGCATGAAACATGCTATGATAAAAGTACATGCCCCCAAAAACATCATTGAACTCAAACTTCACTGAGTCAGGATTGATCCTATCGGTTTCAGATTCCTGCTTCACACTACTGCCCCAACCTGCGGTGGACGCTAGCAGAGCATCGTATCCGATGCCCGCAAATGCCCTCTCCTCGTGCTCATCAAACTGACCTGGATTCTGGGATCCAGATGCTCGACCCGAGATATCTCTCGGAGCCAAGATCATGGTTCCCGGCCCTTGCGGCCTGCTCTCAAACTTGTCAGAAGCCCAAGATTCACCTGGAATGATAGACCTCGGAGGTTGGGTAGGCATGGCCTCCGGGTCGTCCACACGAGGGCGGGCCATGTTCATCGCCATGTTGATGAAGTTCAAATGTCCTTGTCCGAAACCTGATTCAGAGCCGGCCCTATCGGGGCGAGCTCCTCGTCCTTGCTCATCATCGGTGGCCTGACGGAAAATGCGGTCGTCTCCATCGTCAGTGTACCTGCCACGGCTTCTGGGTGTGTCCCTATCGGGATCATCAGCCCTGCGGTCCTGACCTGCGAATTCCTCATAGTCATAGTCCGGCAAGTCCTCACCTGAACGGAGACCACCTAGGATAGCCTCCTCATCCACGACACTCCTGTGTGATCGTGGGGAGCTTGAAGTTGATGGTCTCAAGCGCGTAGGAAAGTCCTACGGCTGATAACCTGTGATTCGGGCACAAACCTGCGCCCAGGCAATGGGTAAGTTGGGGTAAACAAGCCACAAAAGAAAGGTTCCCCAAAAGCAAACCAATCCCCGGTCCCAAAGATCAGGGTTTCCCACACACCAGAGAACAACAACCAAAAGGAAAACACCAAACAAGTTAACAAGTACCCGGTGATCGATGCGGGGACCCGGCGACGCTCATCCGAGGCGCGACGGACCCGCAAACTTGAGCCAAATCACCACCGGTCAGTCAATAACGCGACATCCCTGGTGATGAAAGAACTCATGGCTAATCACACAAAATAAGGACGCGACTTGGAGCAAGAGCGAGAGAAAAGCAGCAAGAGAGTTTCTATTGCTGGCATGCAGGGAAGCAGAAACTCTCAGCTGGTTCAGCTGCAGCTCATGAGACGGAACCACAGAGCAAACCGTCCAACATTCTGCCGACACTTTTGACCCCTTCGGCCAGCGCCCACAGAACACACAGCACAAAGCCTAGCTAAAAACACCTCAGTGCAAGGCCTGGTGGGTCAACCGATTCCAAACAAACTCACCGGACAGAAACACAAAATGGCTCACCACTCCTCCTCTTCCTCCGGCATCTGTGGTGGCTCTTCTGCCTCCTCCTCTCCTTCCTCAGGCACCTGCCAAGAAAAGGCTGTGACTGGCGCACGCTTGAGTCTCAAACACATAGGGCCTGCCCGGCACAAGGAGCCCAGCGCAAACTAAAGGGCAACATAGCCGAGACACATACCTTGATAGAAACACGCAACACCGCTTTGAGGAGGCAGCACAACTCCTACCGCAAGTCCGCGCTAAAGGAAGGCAGGGGGTGTTTGGGTCGCCCGCCTCCTCGCCAGCCTCTTCCAACTTCCGGATGCGCTCTTTCTCCTCCTGGCTCGCAGGGAACGGTCAGGCCCGGCCTTCGCTCCTTGCCAGCTATTATTAATGTTGGACCTGCTTCTCCAATTAGGGCGTCCATTGTGGAAAGTGTTTCCGACTTCATTCAGGATGCTGGGGCAGTTGTGGGGTATTGAATAATGGACATAGTTTTTCACCCCCGCACACCCCGCAAACAACCCAACAAGAAGGGAATGGACAAGTGCGATAGCAATACTGAATTACTCGGCTGCGAATTGGTGTGGACGTGCGCCATCTCCGTGGCCTTGTGACCCAGCAGGGCGTCACTGGCCGAACTGGGCTCTCGATTGGCAACTGTCTTTGAGATCCTGACGCTTAGCAATGTTGTTTCGGCTAGTTGCCCAAAGTGAGTTCTTGTGTTTGACTATAGTTCTTCAGAAGCAACCTCTTTCTGTTCGCGGGCAGAGGTCAGACGCCACGCACCTTCTAGCTGAAAGCCACGCGCTTCATGTTTTACGACCGGGCGTGCTTCAGGCAAACGCAACATTCCGGAGATTGAAGCTTGGCAACTATGGCAGAAACTTTGTGCGAAGATTCTGTCAAGGGAGGCCATGAGCTTCTGCGACAAGAGTATCTACATCGGCGAGAATGTGAATCATAAAGCAGATTTGGGTGGAGCAAAGTAGGACCAGCAAATCTAGATTGCGCCACGGAGTTGTGTATTGGGACCCGTGCCAACTAATTAGGGGCTAATTGGGAACATTGGGAGCCAATTTTTCACGCGCGCCTGCGCGAAACAAGTCTGCGATGTGGATTGACCTTTGGATGTTCGTCCAATTGCTACTATAGCCAGAAAGACGTCCAGTCAATTGATATTGATATTTTATGTCGGATTCGGACGTCGCGCTAGAAGCTGGCTAAGAAGACATTGTATTTAGGATTCGGATGTCAAGTTAGACGTTAGAGACTTGCAATGTATAGAACAACACAGGAATGTGACGTTACAGACCTGCAATGCTAGAGGCACGAATCTGAAATCTTACTGAACATGATGTGTCGGATTTGTATATGTTTTTTGCTGTTGATTGGATTGACCTTTGGATGTTCGTCCCACTACTACTAACTACTATAGTCAGAAAGACGTCCAATCAATTGATAACGATCTTTGCTTTCGGGTTCGGATGTCACGTTACAGTGTGGCCAACATATTGTATATAGGATTCGCATGTCACGTTGGAGACTTGCAATATATGACTGGATTCGGATGTCGCGATAGAGCCTTGCCATGCTAGATTCTTGTACACAGATGCTGCTGTGACGTTAGAGACTTGCAATGCTAGAGGCACGAACCTGAAATCTTACTGAACATGATGTGCCAGATTTGGATGTAACTTTGGTGCTTTTGCTTGGATTGACCTTCGGATGTGCGTTCATTTCTGTTTGTGTGTGTTTCTCTGTGTGCGCGTGTCTCTGTGTGTGTGGTGTGGCGCTGTCTGTGTCTGTGGGTGTGCGTTGGCGTGTGTCTGGAGCCGTCAAGCGATTAACCGCCACTCCTGGTGTTTCCGCTTCGAGGTCTCCTGCCGCCAGTCGTCCACGTTGTCCTCGGCCTCAAAGACAAGGGCATAGCACAAGCAGGAGCTTACCCCCAACCTCATACCATAGACCCCCCCTCACGCTTTCACCCCCGTTTAATAACTGCCCCCTAAAGCAACCATACCAAAACCATAACATGAGATGGGTAAGTCCCCTGTCCCGAAAAAACCCACCAAACAACAAACCACACAAAAAACCAAACAACAAACCACACAATAGATAATTACAAAACCCCGACAACAAAAACGAAACGCCCGCACCGGCTACGCGGACATCTTCTACGAGTAGCGAGAGGCGAGGAACTGGGGTGAGAGGGCTGTGGTAGTGTTTCAAATTAAGGTTTCTGCCAAGTAGATACAGAGATGTTGTAAGTGAGCAAGATGAGAGGTTGAGTTTCTTTTGTGTAGCAATTTGATACATCAAGCGCACCCGCCCCCTTGTGTTTGTCCCAATGGTTCTCTTCTTTGTGAAGGGCGAAGATGGTGCGGTGTCGCCATACCTTGTGGCGAATGGCGCTATCTTGAACCGGCTTCAAGATGCTCTGCTTGACGCTCCCACAGCTGAGCAATTGGAGGACTTGAAGAAACAGGAGATGTTGTGTGTGCTCAATTCCCTGAATATGCGTATCACCAATGCCCAAAAGGCCACAAAAGCAGTCATTGCGCAGAAGATTTCGAAGCACTTCGAGATGTTGAAGCGTAGCGCATCGAAAGTCAATGCCTTCATCTTCTGCGGATGCCTCTGCAATCAGTGAAGGCAAGAAGACCGACCACACCATTGACAGTGCCACAGGTAAGCAAGTGCCAACGTCTGGCGTGCAGACTTTGTCGGACATTGTTAAGGACAGCAAGGGCTTTCGTGTCGGTTTCTACGAGGGCAACCTTGATGCCTTCCATGTCTATACCCCCTATGGCATGTATGATCCACCGGATGATGTCCTGACCTTCATTGCCAACAATAACTGTGTCTTCCTGAGCGCTGACGAGCAGGTTGAGTACGAGGCAGGGAACAAGGAGAGCGACAAGTCCGAGAAGGACGAGGACAAGACCAAGAAGGACGATGACAAGTCCGACAAGGACAGCGAGGACAAGTCCGACAAGGACAGCGAGGACAAGTCCGAGAAGGACAGCGAGGAGAGTTACGACGATGTCGCCGTCCATACTTGGACTGAGCGAGACCAGAAGTCCCTTGACTACTTGAAGAGGGCGAACGCCAACACCGGCATCCTCTTTAACGCGGACATCTTGGACGCCCTCTTGAAAAAGAAGATTGCATCCACCTTTGCCGACGGCGAGAGCCTGAATGAGGCGACTGAGGACACTATCCCGATGACTACCACATCACCAAGACCACGCAGGGGAAAGACCTTTACGAAGCGCTCGCTGACTGTCAAGGGCATTGACATGGAGTATGTGGCGGTGAAGTGGGCAGGGACGGCATCTACCATTGCGATGTATGACACCCTCTACACCTATGCTTGTGACGGCACGGAGTTTGTCATCCAGCCAGTTGTGATGGGTGGTAAGCGGGCCCATGGTGGTGAGGGGTCAAAGGCCAATGCTGTAAGCAAGATGGAGAAGTTGAATGAACTGACAGAGAACTTGACATTGGCCTTCCTCCGCTCCCAGATGAACCCCACGCCTCTTGTGTCGGAGATGATGAATGTGCTTGCCGGCTTCAAACAGCAGAAGGCGGACATCAAGCCTGAAAGGGCTATCGGTGACATCATCGCCCAGATGAGTGTTGAGCAGTTGAAGTTGCTTCAAGGAGCACTCGCGGGGACACACACTGACAAAAAGGTCGGCTCGGTGTCCCCGCATCCTGTTTGCCGATGCCTACGCGAAGGTGACCGAGACACAGAAGCATTTGGAGTTGCTCACAAAGGTAATCAAGGACACCACACATGTCCTGCTTCTGTCAGAATACTCCATGGATGAGGCTGCCAACATTGGATGGCAGGCTTTGTCCAAGGACCTTCTGAACTTCATTGCCATCAAGAGCTGTGACGCGGGCGCGACGAATGTCCTTCCAAGAAGGCATGAATGGCACAAAAGAACGCGCCAAGTGGTGGCATGGAGACGCCCCATCGGATTACCCCTAATCCACCCAGCGGACTACCAAAACAAGTCATTTTTAGAAAGCAATCCATTTACTGGAATACCCTAATCCAATCACCGGATTACCCCAATCCATTTCACCGGATTACCCCAATCCTTGCCATCGCATGAGCGTGTGTGCCAGCATTACCGAGCATTGGTTTTTGGAAGAAAAAGAAGTCTGATTATGTGAGGTGAGGTAAGGTGAGGTGAGGTAAGGTGATGTGGTTTTTGATGCCAGTTCCCCCCCTTCTCCCCCTATCCCTTGTTTTTAATGTTAGTTCGCGCATCCGCTCTGACCGCAGGTATGATGACAGCGACTTCGGCGTTGGGTGCGAGACCTCGTCCGGGCCTTTTTAGGGGTGGGTTGGTTTTTTATTTTATTTATATAATATATAAGGGGAAACTCTCGCCAATTTTCCCGCACTGTTTGGCGGTTGACAAGAGTTTTCAAGTATATCTATACAAATTCTGGTGTTGTATCTATTTTATAAACTGCGGATTTCCCCCTTTGAATTCATTTTTTCAAAATTTTAAGTTTCATAATGTTTACTCTTTTGTCGTTGGACGAACCTGCAAATTTCAAGTTTCAACACCAACCCCAAACTCGTTTTCCTTAATCCGTCAAACTCACCAAGATTTCACAAATCAATTCAGCAGGTATTTTGTATAAATCTTCCTGCTTATGGGTTACATAATTATCACCCCATTCCGCCTTGGTTTTTGATGGCATCCGTTGCGCAGTTTCAATATGTTTATTATTAACAACTTTAGCACAGTCTTTTTTACATAATGGTCTGGGTTTCCAATTGTTAAGATTGTTCCACAACCTCGTTCTTTTCCGACAATTAAAACCATATTTACAATAGTCAATGTCATTAAACCTTAACCCATTCATAAAAGACTGACTTTTCAATAATCCAGTCTGTGGATTTTCAATAACAAAATACGGCCATCCGAAATAATCAATTATCTCTAATGTTTTTAATACAATACTAGTAGCATATTCAATGTTTCTTATTCCTGTTGTTTTTGGCAGCCGGCTCTCTCGGAGCCGTGTAACTGTCATCGAATCTGAGTCTTGGGGTTGGGGAGAGGGGTGGGGGGTGGGGGGTGGGGGGTGGGGGGGGGGGGCCAATGAATGCGGCGCTTCTCTGTTGCGACCACCTGCGCTTGGGGTGGGGGGTGGGGGGTGGGGGGGGGGCGAATGAATGCGGCGCTTCTCTGTTGCGACCACCTGTGCTTGGGGTGGGGGGTGGGGGGTGGGGGGGGGCGAATGAATGCGGCGTAGGTCATTTCAGCTTCTTCTCGTGTAATCCAAGCGTTCATTTTCGCATTATGTTTATGTGTTCCAACAAGCGGGATTTTGGGCATATTTACTACGTATGTTTCCTCCAGCATCCCACGACGGACCCTCCAGCCTAGGTCATTTCAGCTTCTTCTCGTGTAATCCAAGCGTTCATTTTCGCATGATGTTTATGTGTTCCAACAAGCGGGATTTTGGGCATATTTACCAAATCACAATGCGAAGGCATTGAGCTCAGATCCGCAAAAGTTTCTGGCCAAGGCTCTTTGGGATTAGTCGCGCGCAAGACACGCAAGAGTATAAAGTGCGGGAGCCGCGCGGCTGACAGGTCCACAAATTAGATCCAAAAACGAAATTTTCGGGGACCCCCTTTGCACAGCCCATGTCGCAAGAAGTTTGAGTCAAATGAGGCAAAAACACCGCAAATACCAGTGAATTTGCCTTCTCGCACTTCAAAACACGCAAAATGCTGTCGCTGACAGTTACACGGCTCCCAGAGAGCCGCTTGCCTTGTTTTTGCGTATTCTGTGCAAAATAATGAACTCCAAATAAATTGAAAATGATTTCTGTCAAACTGCTTATAGTCCCATTCAAGTATATCACAATTCATATCAGCATTTTTTTAAATCCAACGATATTACATTAAAACCGAGCGACTTTGCAATAAGTCCAACACTGCCTGTGCCTGAAAACATCTCTAATAAATTCATTTATTAGAATGATTGTTCGGACTTTTAATTTTGTTCTTATTTAACATATCCATATATTGCTTTTGCTTATCTTGAAAACTGCCAGACGGTCGTCCTATCTGTTTCTCTTCAAAGATTTTGTCCATTTTCTCCTTATCGTCTTCTTTATTGCTTTTCGGTTGGTTTAATTTTTCATCAATAGTCTTAACAAGCTCGGACAATGCTTTAACATTCTTACTGATAATTACAAGTTTTTCATTAAATCGGTAATTGTAAAACTTTCATTTTCTGACATTTCTACAAATAAATATTTATATATTTATTTATTTATGCGTTTGAAGTGGTGTTAAATCTACTCTTTATATGTTATTTTTCATCATTTCTCTTATGGTTTCCTGTGTTTCATTTTCACCATTATCGGATGGGGTTGCTTGCCTACCCCATTTAAATGTAATGGTATGAGCATCAGTTTCTAAGTTGATACTGTCTTTATTTTTATCAATATTCATTTTTTTATCAGTTTTACTTACCTTAAAACCAACTGGTACGTAACTGCATTTAAAGTTTCCTTTCTTTTGTATTTCTAGTTCATTTTTTAGTTCTAACATCTTTTTACACATAGGACAAGCAAACTCAATAACTGCTGATTGATTAATAACTTCTTCACTATCTTCTACATTTTTATTTTTGATATATTGTATTCCTAATTTTTATTGATTCTAATGAATAATAACAGCATTTTTTGCTTTTATTGTCAATTATTATCACTTGTTCTATATTCTCTACTTAATCTATTATATTAATATAATCTGAATAACTTCTATTCATATAAATAGTAAGATAAATTATTCTAATTAATCTTATTATTTCATGCATGGTAGAATATTGGGGGCACAGCACTTGGGGTTCTCACTGCAACACGC